AGGCAAATGTAAATCGCACGTCATAGATGGGATAGTTATAGTCCGAAATAAGTGGTATATTTGGAGTCTGTACAGACACCAAATATACCACTTCTGCAACAACAAAATTGTCATCAGCATTTGCAGGAATAGAACAGGCACCACGACATCTATATTTGTCAATGTATATGGGATTTGGTGGCAAAAAGGCTTGGCATGAGTTCCCTGAACCTGAAGTTCCTGTTTCAGCAAATAATAATATTCACTTGGTGAAAGGCCCTGCATATGAATCAAAGCTCCAGCAGCTTTGCTCTAGCCATCTCACACCAGAAACGGTGGAAACAATTCGACGTTACTGCCAAATTTTCTTTGCAACTTTTGGGTTTGATGCTGAGTTGTATCCCTGCTGCATTTTTCAAGAAAACTTACTGCCACGACAACACAAACGACAATGTGTCTCTACAAATAAGCGTTTTGTTAAGATATGGGGTGGAAGTCATGAGTCTCAATTTGCAATGGAGCTTGGCCCAGAAACAACTTGCATTGTGAACTGCATCCACCGCTTACTGCAAAGTTTTCCAGATCCTGTATCATTTTATTTAAATGAAGTGGAAAAACAGTTTGTGCGTAATATGGCAAAACCCACATATCTAGATGCTCTTGTTGTGAATAATTCTTCTATTTTCAATCATGATATTACAGAAGCTGTCATTGAAAGTGATGATGAATGATTAGAGAGTCATATGCTGCTCTGGTAACCTGCAATGTAAACTTTATGGTAATGTGTTTGTAATATCACATTAAAATAAACTTCAGAAAGCAAATCTGTTACAAGACTTGTGTTGATTGATTCAGTTGATGCGTGATCTATTAATATTAATAATAATAAAGCATTAATTTCCTGTAATAAAAGGATAAGAATGTCTTTGTCATAGTAATAGTATTTGCCCATCTGTCAGGAATGGCTTTAAATGAAATAGTAGTAGTAGTAGATAAAATTATCTATTTTATCTATTGAATTTACCTAATTATTAATTATATTAGTATTGTCTTAAAAGTCCTGTTACAATATTAATATGTGACAAAAATATTTTGCCCATAGCAAACCTGTTATAAATGCTTCCAATTCTAATAACTGATACATTGTAATTGTTAAAACCGGAAAAGACATAAAATAAATTTTATGAGAGTAAAAATTAATTCACTTACCATTTCTTCACCAAATGCCTGCTCACAACGGCGGCGTCAAATGAAATATACTAAACTATATAAGACAGATTTTGGAATATAATTCTATTCCACTGTCTATGTCATAAACTCTTAAAACGTTTTTTTTTTTACATCTATCTTTGTACCATTGTCTCAACTGTGTTCCGATGCAACTTTAAATGCTGTTTTACCAGTAAATTGGCGTGGCTACAGCCAAGCCATTTTTAATACTCTAATTGTTTACCAATCGTACGATAAGACACGTCGATACTATCAAGATTAAGTTGATTGGCAAGATACTTGATGATATTGATGCACAGCTTGTCTATAGATTCCGCCACGGACAACAATTACAGTCGCAAGTTTCAAATTACCAGTCTTGCGACTGATAACTTTGCGTTTCTTGCTAGTTCAGGCGCAGAACGGACACTATTATTCCAATAATGGAATAAACGTGCGTTGTTCATTAGTATTAGTAAGCGTTTGCTGACATTGATAATACAATTTGAGAAATTGACGCGTCATAAAAGACTATTGTCTACGTTTTTAAATGTAAAATATGACGTCAATTAAACTAGAACTAATAAAGTTTAATTAATTAATATAGTCAGTTTTTTGTCACACACACTGTATATGTGTCTACTGCAAAACAGGAATAAAGAGAGCTAGAAAACAAACTACTGGGTATGGACAACTTAAGAATTTACACAAATACAAAAAGGGAAAAAACGCTTATAAAAAACATTGTCCTAATAAAGCACTTTGTTACCACGTTTATACAAAAATACAATATCTACTAAGTTCTCTCATTTATTAGGTTTTTAGCATTCTCGAAAACAAAAACGTTATCCAAATGCTTTAATCCGTCCTGGCTATGATATTAAATATATCAAAACTTGTAATTTTAATCACATATATTTGCTCAGATAAAACAATGTTTATTTCCGTCTTTTCTGTATTCTAAAAATATTTTGCGGAGCACACATCCGACTTGCCACAATATATTTCTACCTTCTATACCAAGATTATTATCCAATAACATGCAAGTTGAAAGTTTTCCCGCGCTTGTTCACACACACAGATTTTCTTGACAGTGCAGCGTTATTATTATCATGTTAACGTGAATACAAAGTTGCGCCAACCCATTCAGCTAAATCTTAAACAAGTTAGTCTCCATTATTATTGATCGAATTGTATGTTGCACACACGATTGATTTTTTCATTTTAAGCAAGACTAGTGATTTTATAGTTATTATTGCACGTGATATCTTGTGAGACGCGAAAATAATAAGTTAAACGTACGATTCAAACAACACTTTGTATAGATAATTGGTTCAATAACAATAGTAATACTCCTCATACTAAAAAGATTAGAATGTTTTTAATGATCTAAGTATTCTCAATAAATGGCTAGCGAATGTATACGCGAGATGGTTGAAAATTTGATTGTTCATTTTTACTCAAAAAAGGTAGTAAAAAAAGTGCAAGTTCGAAACTTTGAGTACTGATTCTTGAGAAATTTAATTTAAAAATTCGATAGTTTTAATTACCATAAAAATCATAGATTCTTCATTTCACACACTGGAAACTTGTCAACTTTTGTCAATGATCTACCTCAATTGTGGGCTGTGGATTGATAAATTGATAAAACCATGCTCAGAAAGGTCCTATGAGGTGTTATGATGAAAAAGTTGTCAACACAAACCTTTGTATAACAAAATATGAATTAGAAATAGCGGAATCGTAAAGTGATAAACGTCAATCAAAAATCAGGGACAGAAAAAATAATCTGATAATACGTTGTCGCATGAGCATCACTTAGTTATAATTGCATTGGCTCTATCGTCAGCAAAAATGTTAATAGACATCAGCTCGGCACCTACTATCGCATTCTTGAGGCTGGATGTAAAATATTAGTAGTCATCTTGCCACTGACGGACGAAATCAAAACTTCTTCCTATTAATGGGGAGTCAAGACGTATGTTCTTCAATAAAGCGCGCCATCCACTTTTTTAAGATATGTGCATCGTAATTAATAAAGGGGTGTGTGGCAAATTTTATAGCCACATGCAGTTTCACGGTATCACTTATATATGTGATAGTCGTGAACTGAGGCTAATCGATTCATTCAAAAGACGATAGTATTGCTATACATCATGTCTATCTTGTCACACGCTTTTCATGGGAACGATGTAATACACGACTGCATTATTACGTAACTTGCCACGTATGTTGAAAGCATTGTCTATGAAAATGCCTGATAAATAGAACTTATATGGCTAGCGCAAATTTTAGAAACAGAAAGTGATACATGCAAACATTAAAAGAGGTTTAGGTAATAATAATAATTTCAGCTGAAATTAATATATTGTATTCGAATTCTATATTCTTGGCGTCTATCGACGTCATAATCAACTTAAGCTGAAGGATTAACAGTGTTCACAATCTTTGTCATTCAAGGCTAACTTGAAATGAAGAGTGGGAAAAAAAAAGCCTCGATGGGTGTGGAAACAAAAAAATATGTATCCGAGTTGCAATAAATATTTGTACGGGGGGGGGGATAAACAATAGATATCATTGATATCTTTCCAACGTCACACATCAGATTCGATTCCTAGTTAGAAAGGATGCTAATACTAATCGCTCAAATAGCGAAATTTGAATTCGAAAGTCATAGAAACGATTCACCCCTAAATAATGCACAACTGACATATCACGTGATATAAAGTTTGCGATTGCAGCTGTCTTGGCATAATTATAATCATGTCATACCAATCAGAATTCATGGTTTTTTTAGGAAATACTTAAATACACAAGTCAAGCCTTTGCGGAATAGTTTACCCTTTTTGAAGATTTGTTTAAAAATAATATGGAAAGGCGTGTGATCAGGACACTGTTAAAAATAGAATTTTAAAAATAACAAAGCATAAAGTAAGCATTGCATTCTTGGACAGAGTCTGAAAACCAGCACGGTTAACGGAATAGAGCTTAACGTAGGCAGGTTTTCTTACTGTCATTATCATATCGAATAGCCTAGTTCAACATGTCGGATTATCTGATACACAATTAATTAATGGATACCGTTTACGGTTAATGAGTTGTTGCTATTGCTTAGTTATAGGGAACAAATACAATCATGCGCCGATATCATGCAATTGATTTCTGTGTGCATGATTTTTTTGCGGAATAAAAGAAATTCGAAAGATAGGCACAGTGCAACTGTCCTGGTAATTTGAGTAATGACAAATATGTTACATTTCAGCACCCAGTATGAGTAATTGAACAATATGCACAATATGCACAATATGCACGACCCACGTACATATACAGTACAGTATATTAAGAATAACCAACTCTTCATGACAAGTTTCTCTTGTCTAGGATATATCACAGTACCCATCCGCTCCCACTCCACTCCCAACTGCTCTCCTGAAACTTCTCCCTATCTTTGCTTTCAAAATGGTTAATGTCTTGAGGAAGATTTGTTTCATTTGCAGTTGGCCAATCCTCTCGCTTTTGTTGATAACTTAATCTTGGCATTTTAATTGTACGCCGTTGTACTTGGCGTCCGATGACGAGAGGAGAACGTAACTCCCTTGTCAAATTTATCGTTAGCTTGTAACGCACTATGATCAAAAAACGGTCTTACTATGTATGCTTTCCTTGCAAATGACGTTGATAGGTAATAATTAATGCAAATATATTCATACTAAACTGTTTACCCGCCGATTTTATTTGTTTCAGTTTTTGATATATGAGATCGATGCTAATTTGCATGTGGCCTTGAGTTGTGTCACTCGCTCTCTATAACTATTTGTTGCGATGAATGCTAGCTAATAAATATTCATACATTTTATTAGTCAGTAAATTGTGTAAAATGCGATTGTGGTGCGTGAATGTATATTAATATAAATGAACAATTATTGGCAACAACAGCGTAACATCATGCATAAATAGCGGGGATTGTCTTTCATTTCCCCACCCCGCAACCAGTACAAGTGCTTCTTTAGATTTAGTATATATTCATCTACTATCCTCATTATCGGACGGCAATACACATTGCATTTTCTTCTCTTCCTCAAACTGATACAGAACAATGATGCAAAAGAATACAGTAGTTCTCCTAATACTTGTGGTCCTTGCAACATTTGTATCTGCAGGTAGGCATTAATGTTGAATTTCATGTTCAAAATAGATAATTAGTGAGAATTCTAGAAAAATGAAATATACTGACGGAACGCAAGATACTTTATATACATTCTAACTCATGTGAACTTCATTGCTAATTTCTCCATTCAACTTTGCAATCTACTTTTTCCAAATCAAAAGACATATCAGTAGTGAACACACCTCCGACACTCATTACAGGCCAAATCTATCAGATCACATGGGGCTATACCGGTCCTCCTAACGGCCAAGGTCAGTTAATAATTACAGACGCCGCAAGCGGCACTCCCAAGCTCATCAGTGGGGCCGTCCCATTGCAACCAAACTCACTCGCATGGACTGTTGATGTCAATCCCGGCAAGTACTATTTCACGTTGACCGAATCTGATAATGGAAGCACAAAGACGAGTGGAACTTTTCAGATCGTTGCAGGTGGTGGTGCAACCCCGCCTGGTGCGAATACTACCGTTGCTGCTCCTCCTGTTTCCACTGGCGCAAGCGCTGCTACTAGTACTACGTCCGCAACTACTACTACCACTTCCACTTCTTCCAGTACCAAACCTACGTAAGTATTGCCAATGAATTTGTCCCTCTAATCGGGTTCCGCATGAAATCTAATCAACATCTTCTTCTTGCCATCCAATTCTGATAGTGCACCGGCTGGAAGCGGTAACTCAGCTCCCGCAGGACCGCCAAATGATGGCTCGCAGCTGGCATCTTCCATATTCATTACTGTTCTCCTCCCTCTCGTATTCGCTCTCGCTCAGATGGTCTAGAGGTGTACGGCAGGATTGCAAAAAAACTTAGAATATTCTTCAGTTTTCGTTTCACATCGTATAAATTTTACACTCTTGTATTTTTACCATCCCCAAACTTAATCTTAGTAGTAGTACAACTCGAAATATCATTTCCCAAAATTCATTTATGGTGAAAATGATTGAGGGATCAATACGTCAATACAATACGTCAATACATCAATACGTCAATCCTCTCTGCCTCCCTGACGTTATTGTCATTCCAGATTTTTGAAATTCATCACATACGAAGATATTTTTATATCTATCTATTATTCTCGTAATAATAAATTATTCTCATCCTACGTTGAACGTTTCCATCACAAACCGTTTTCGCGAAATTGATGGTAATATGTGAAATGCACTAGTAAGATTATCATGCGTAAAAGTTTCATAGTGTCTTAAAATGGCGATGTCGGTAATAAGCTTACCTTACTGGTATGATTGATCTGTTCGAGGTAGAAATAATCAAAGCACCGTATACCGGACATTACGAGACCGATTTCGACCGAGTCGTTTATATCAAAGACATGACATCCATAATTCATCTTATCAAACCAAACACACCTCCCTATTAGCGAAAAAGCCACGCGTCCCATCAATATTTCGACTTGACTCCTCCAAACCGCGAAAGATTATCCATCACATGTAAACCTACAATTAGTACCAAGACTCAGATAGCCAGAAGCTAATCGCCCTGGTGTGGATCGCAGGTTTTTTCCATCTCATCTTGGACAGTAGGGAAGTCGGCTATGGGAGAAAGGGAGCACAACATTATGCTCCACTAGTCGACCACCAGGCAATTTGGAAATCCAAGTTTGCATATGATTCTATGTTAGGAACAGAAAAAATGATCCGGAAAATTCATTGATATGTACAAAAACGGATTATGGGATTTTCCGACAAATAGGGAAAGAAGGTCAACACCCACAGAGGGGATAAACGGTGCTGTGCTAATGGCCAATTCGCATCAATCTAATCCTTAACAACGATGTCGTGATGCTGTTTGTATAGTTGATGAAATAACCCGTCTACCCCTTGTATAGAGACATGATTAGAACATATTTCAAAGAATGTGTCTCAACGAGTCATGTGTTACAAAGTATGTTTTGTCGATCAATTACCCTAATTCCGTTTGGAGTGGAATCTAGGACATGGAAGCTTACGGTCTCATGATAAAGGTATAGTTATATTCGCTTGACCCACGTATGACAAACCATCCGTATGTTCGATGAACATCTACTTGATGCTTTTTTAACAATATCGGTACGAGAGGGTTAACCTGCAATAGGGTTTAGGAGACCAGATTTTAATGTCTAAAAATTCGTATGGTTATATTCTCATCATTCTATATAAGACGGTACCGAAATGATAAAGTAAGAGAGATATCCCTGCATGGACGCGCCTTGGAAAAAAGCTTATGGTAGGTGGTAATATTATAGATTTATACAGTCTTGTATCGATTGGGAAAAGAAGCGTCAGTATTATTGTTGTTACACTATTTCAATTCCTAAGGTTGACTATGCTTTTCTATAGGATCTGAAAAATTGGATCAGATGTCAACGATATTGTTGCGTCTTGGTCATTCGTCTTTTGCTAATTCTTATAAAGACAATCCCACTTGACATTCAGTGTAGAGGCGTACACGTTGGTTCTGGTCACATGGAGGGATCGGCCATTAGCCGAAGAAGAGATCATTCACATGTCGGAAATTCGAGAGTGCAGGTCCATGCCATGTGTAAGTACGAGACTTGTTTGTGTCGCCTTTCCACGAATACTAATACGTACACTTTAACGCAATTCATCAATATGCTCAGTCTATTTGGACAACAGAATGTGCGATTTGAATACAAGTCTTATGGCTGATACTTACTATGGACCTTTGTTCAGATGAAAAGAGCAGACTCGGAAAAGATTGCGAATAGGATCCACGAACGGTTGATGAAAGAAGTCAGTCTTCGATCCGCCCGAGATTGAACAAACCATCGAAAAGAACAGTGAGTGCATTGTGAAAGTTACCATTTTCGCAAATAGTCAAGCATTTGCTCAGACTCTCGGCGCAAAAGTTGGGAATGTCGCAGACCAAACGTTGTTTCGCATCGTTGATATGAACCTTCACACTTGCATTGTTAGGCGTCAAGGCTATGGCAGCCCATGTCATGAAAGAGTTGGCGATATGTCTTCGAAGATATGAGAGGACTGATTCCAATACTGCAGAATGACTTGAGGTTTTGGTTCTTACGAAAGTTTCAAAGGTATTCTTTAATCGAAAGATTCCAGCAAGCGTGGGATCTGCTTTTATCTCGTCTGTGTTCTACTCATGAAGTGGCTTATCGCATCGATCAAAGTTTTCAAACACTATTATCCAATCTCCAAATGAAGCCAAATCATTGACCATCGTTTGTATTCAGTGGCGCAAAAAATTCCTCGTTCGCTGTCGATACTTGATTTCCCAATCGCAATTCCTTGCTGTTGACGCAAAGCTTCCAACGCGGTCGAAGATATCGGATCAGCAAAGTCGATGATTGTAGCGTCTCCCATACGGTGAAGGAGATCCATAGATTGTTGTATCTCCCGTTTGGCAAAATTGATTGATGAATTCCCGCCCTGAGACACTTGATAAAGGCGTAAAGCTGAGCCAGTACATCTAAAAATGTTAGTCAATGGTTGACATCACATTTCACAATATAATCGCTTTGAGACTTACCCACACCAAGTGGCGTTTCTTGTTTCACGGAGACATGTAAGATATTGTTTAGGAGTATCTACTATTTCATCAGCACAGCCATTATTTGGACTTGATCAACTTCTGCTGAATAATTCGGTGACGAACTGTTTTCGGATATTGTTGGTAGTGACTTTTCTTTAGTTGTTGTCCCCGTTGATTGACTCAGAGACTCTGTCTTCCAGACTAAACGGCGCTCATCTCCAGAATCTGAAAAATTCCAATAATCAGATTTAATTGCTCACATTATTTGAAGACTGTACGAACAATTGTACTTGCTCATCTCTAAGAAAAGAATCCCGTCGCATATGGTTGACAACTCGACAGCAACGTCGTAAACGATCTGTTGGTTGATCAAGTCTGCCAACATTTTTTCACCTTGGTCCAGTACTTGGAAGCCTCTTGCGAGGAACAAGCCTACATCGTCGGCCTCGTAGTCTTCACTAACGAGTCCGGTAATAAAATCCTTTCCAAAAGGCGGGAAGTGAATATCGAATTGTAGCAACTCGAAAAAGCAAAAGAAAAGGCGAAAAACTTGTTACTATTACTATCAATGTAAGTCGAAACTACATTACTACGTTTGAACAATTGCAGTAGAAGTATTTGTAAACATACGACAAATCGTATATATCCATTAAATGAAGTTGAGAAATGATTGGGTTACGCTTATGAAGATTTATCAACTTACCCTTTATTTTAATCATGTCCATCAATTGAAATAGACTGTTCGTATCGTAAACAAACTCTCAACTGTCGATCTCTTGTAGGGACAATGAGACTTTCTAAAAATCTAAATCTCACATTGTACTCAGGATGCTTGGAGCCTTCCTTGAAAACTTAGACATTTACCAAATATTAATATTAGCACCATACCTTACAAAATGCAGGAATCATTGTTGTATGTCAGTTTGGAATTATACTGTATGTCATTCAGAATGGACATATTAAATGTCAGTTTAGAATGGCATATGTCAGATTGGAATTTACGTCCATTTAGAATGGTGGTCATTGTGAAAATATGCTTTGACTTAGAGAATACGTTAGCAATAGTCATTAATGTAAGACTTTATTGTCCAACTACAGATAAACTGCTAAAGCTGGGTTTAATTTATACATACAGTGAGTGACCAAAAGTCTCCGACCCCCTTAAAAGTTTCGTTAATTCCTTAACAAAACGTCAGATTTTTATTGTGTTTGTAGTGAACTACATTTCTGCAACATAGATTATTATGTAAACGGTCAGATTCACTTATTATTATACCCGACTTCAATTAACCGAAAATGTGAAAATTAAGTTTCTCGACCTGAACGTTTAAAAATGTACACAAATAGAAATTATGCTACAACCCGGTGCAAATTAGTATTATTTGAAAGCCTTTAACTAAATGTCAAAATATCCCATTTTTATCTTACACGGCTGCTGAGAATAAAATTGTATATTTACTATGCGTTTATTATGTTAAAATACAACAAAAATGTAATAATCTATGCAATTGGGATAGCATCTAAGCACAACCGTAAAGCAAAATATTATCTAGATCTTATTATTACCAATACTTTGTTGCAAAGCCTTTATAGCCCGTTGAACCGCTTTAACTCTACTATTCATACTTAGAATAAGTTTCTGAAATACAGCATCAAGACGAAATAAAAAACGAAATAAAAAACACAAAAAAACTAAAAAACGAAATAAAAAACGAAATAAAAAAAAAAACACAAAAAAAAACGAAATAAAAAAAAAAAAAAACAGAACGAAAAAATTACAGCTAATTCCCTCTCAGATACAGGTGGAGGGTTCCGTTTTCTAATTTGCCTTTCAAGCTCATCCCATGTTCAATAGGGTTAAGGTCAGGGTTCATTGCATCAAGTTTATATCTGAATCATCAAAGAATGTCCTTGTCAGTTTGCTTGTATGAACAGTAGCATTATCTTGCTGGAGTTCATACTCAACAAATTCCCCATCGAGTCCCTCCATAAATGGTACTAAATGAGTGTTTAAAATGTCTATATACTTCTGACTATTACTCTTCAATAGCTATGAGCCCGGAACTGACCGTAAATTACTTGCTAAAATAATACGACCTGGACGGCTTGCTCCGCAACTTCTGGAAACAAGTACACCAATACTTGCTTTGGTGTTTCATGGCACCACGCGCCATAAGACACGGGTTGCTTGTGCCAGTCGCCTCGGTTGCCACCGTTGTAGTTGACAGTGGCGTGTACTTGGATTTTGTGTGGGGTAGTACATGTCGTAGTCGTAGTATTCGTAATTGCTGGCGTAGTTGTAATAATTATGGTCGTAGTCAATGTTGCGGCGGTGGTTTTGTGTTGTGCTCGTGGCGCTATGACTGTACGGCATGGTGGCGTTAACAAAGTGACAAGTTGAACTCCAAAGTAAAAGATGATGATCATTTGAAGCAAAATAAAATCGTTTCCGGCTTTGAATACTGTAGTTGTCCCAGCATTTCAAATAATCTGAATCGTTTTTCTTAGTGTAGTGTGAGGCTGATGCAAACTCCCTTGCGTCTTCGGTGTAAGGGTCCCACCTCTTCCTCTCTTTCTCGCACGATCAGCACCATGACGGTCCGTGCGGCTCGTTTGCGAAGGTCCCGACGAAGATTGGTTTTTATAATAGTGGGATGAGCAGTTCTGTGTCGTATGTTTGCAATGTGGTTGTCATGACAGAAAATTTTGTTACGCTTTGGAGAAAGAGAGGGTTTGTGAAGTGATGAATGGAGAGAACGTGGGGCTATATATGTAACAAGACGCGTGTCACGTCTTAGATGATATGTTTTCGATCGCGTCATAGCACCTTTATAATAAATGTTGTTATCAATGCAGCCAATAGTAACGCTTAAATCGACATCATTCCTGAAGTACGCGTAGTAAAAGCCTATTCACTGGTTAACAAGTCTTAGAATTTGTATGTTATGTAATTTACTAAAGATAAGGCACACACTCGCCAAGTGTACTAGAACATTTATTCTCTTTTCTCAAGACGTGATAAGGGTTTTACATAATTATGATATATGGTATTCCATGGGTTGTCATAAGAACTGTCCTCAAGATTATCCTGTTCCACCTTGGTCAGAAGCTTGCGAATATAATCAGCCAGTGCCCCTCCATCTTTAAATCGTTTGCCAGGATCAGCGTCACAACATCGCTCGACAAGTTCCTTGTATTCCTTTGGTGCGGAATCAGGCATCGACGGTCGTAGTCCGCCCACAATATCACATGCTAAGCCGCTATTGAACTGTCTATCTCTAAAAGGTGGTTCACCAGTTGCCATCAAATACATAATAATACCGAAAGAATACACATCCGATTTCTGAGTACACTTGCGGGTATAAAAGACTTCCGGTGCGACAAAGGGTAACACGCCTCGAATTATTGGATTTGACTCGCTCGAATTCACTGATCAAGATCGCATACTAATGGCTGTACGTAATATGAATCATGCATAACTATGTTTCCATCATGAAGATCACAATGCACTAAACCTGCAGCATGAATACTTCTCAGATCTATTGCAATGTACAATAAACCCTCTAATTTCATTCTCCACGTCAATTTGTTAATACTCCGATCCAAATAAGACAAAAGACTATCATTGTTGGCATATTGCATAACAATCATGTACTCTTTTGTTTCTGGCTCTTGCGTGACTCCATACATATCAAGGAATGGACGTTGCGCACACTTGGCATGATTTCTAAACTATAAAATAAATAAATACAGCATCAGATTAAATTAATACTACCAATTATTACTATTACTATTGCTTACCTCAGAAATAAACAATTCCGGCATTTCATCAAAACTCTTAAACCGTCTGAGTACAATATTTTGTGGCACGCGCCGTGAATTACCTTCATATTTGGCAGTATAAACTGTTCTGTAACCACCAGATCCGATCTCTTTCAATTCATCAAAGTCACTATACGGCATATACATCAGACGTCCATTGTTTCGTATAAAGCTATCCAATAATGAGTGTATGTCTTGGTAAAAAACTAAATAATATTCCCGAGTAGATGGATCCCCAGTGATCCCAATTATCCAAATATTCTCGGGTGTTAGTATCTCTGGGTATTCCTTGATTAGCTGCAGAACTAGTCGTTACAACGCTGACCGATTAAACACATGTTCAAAATACTTTACATGTGAAATAATTTACCTGATGATAATCAAATAATCGGTCATTTGGTTCGTCAACTATCTTTTTAAGTGCTACACGGGTCAATTCATCCGCTGTCCAATCTGCTATATGTGTGCATCCGTGGCGTAGTGAGGTCATTTCTTGTATGTTTGTCAAAAGAGAGTATTCAATCCGTTCTATATACCATCATCTATGCTCGTTGTATTATTCCATGACTCGATAATAAACGAATCCAGTGACTTGTTGCCAGTAGTCCAATCAGGAGGTCGTGGTGCTTTACATTTATAACAGAATGCATTTATCCTTGGGGTTAGTTGACCCGTACATGCCAGGCATAATTCCCTATCATAATATTCTTTTATCAGACAATACTTTTGTTTCTTTGTATCATATGTAAATCCGATGGTTACCCAAGCATCCGTGGTAAGAATATCTGGATGCTTATCACATAACTAGTGGAAATGATATGTCAATAACTATTCAATAAACATGACGCATAAGGAAATAGTTTACCTCGACATAATATGAATCATTTGTCTCGTCCGTTATCTTGAGTGGAATCAATGCAACGTGTGCATGAGTAGGTGGACCATGTAAGTATAAGCCATATCCTAACCTTTCACGAATACAATCAAATAAAATCCATTCCAAATAGGCGTCGTTTGGTGAGTTTGTTTGTAGTTGAGATTTCTTAATAAAGTCATCGAGTTGGTGATTGTCGCTGGTCCATCCATCAGCTAATTGTTTATGACCGCAAATGCACCACACAGGGCTACATCGGAGTATTCCACATGCAGCGCAGAATCCGTAGAGAGAATAGTAATGATAAAAGCGTTTATCAGCAACCATGTAATAGTTACCTTCACAGTTGGTAAACTCAATTATGAATTCGTTGCGTTTCTCAAGCAATTTAGAATATCTTCTAAAGTTAATGACATCATTATTATACTTGTGTGTTGGAAGTGAGTATATTCTGGCAAACTCACTCACAAGTGTTGGTGTACATTCTTCATTGTTTCCAACGAATATCAGCGTTATCTTGCCAATACTCATCATCAAAGATAGCATAATAGACGTTGTCAATTTGAGTTAGTGATCTCGTAAGAAATCCATTCAACTCTGGAGTATTTATTCTCCAAGGAGGATTCAACCAAGCTATCAATTGCTGGATTACTAACTAACGGCATGTTTGAATGACGAAATTTTCGGAATCAACGTTTTATTGATTACATCACTCGGATTGCCAAGTTGTACAGATTTTCCCAATATTATTATTGACATCGCCGAGCGCACGTTTTTTTAGGTTAACACCCGAAATGGTAAGGCGAGGTGATTATTTGTTTACATGATTCAAACCGTTTATATAACACGGGACTTTGCGTGAGGTAAACATATCGATGTACAACACAAACTGTTTGGATTAAGGCTGTATGAAACGCGATGTATTTTTTTGTTATCTGTGTCTACTGGTTGCAAACAACGTAGAACGGAAGTTGCAGCCCAACAAACATTTAAATTGTCGGAAAAAGGAAAGCTTACAAGTCAAACTCGTAAACTAACCATTTCTTAAATAATTAAGACTGACATCTAATAGTGGACTTGGTTTGAAAACTGTGGACATAGAATTACTTTTGTAATGGTTTAATAAAAATAAACCAATTGTAGTATGCCATCGGACGTTTTACAGAAATAAAATCAAACTTTGCATAAACGTTTTTGCCACATGGTTCTTCAAGGTTTGAGCAACACGTTGTCGAACTGTGTTGGCGTGATGAAAATTAATATGTAAAGAGAATTAACGTCACCAAAAGAATGAATTGTAAACTAGTCAAAAATTTATGGAGAGATGCGGAAAATAAATAATCGAGATAGCAGCAGAAAAAGTGCCGATTGATAGCATAAACAGTTCATTTTAAGCATATATTAAATGAAATTTCTTGTAGTTTACTGTTTAATAAACATGGTTTGATGGAGCACGATTAAGTAAATTCCAAGTCTGTTATTAATTTTAGAGTCACTTCAAATTTCATTCGATAGATCGCGTCCACGAACGCTACACGGATTAAATCAAAAGAGCGAAATCAATTGGCATTATTCCATGCCCAAACAACATGCATTTAGTGAACGAAATTCTCCTGTTTATTAAGCCTAAATCCACGGCTGTATGAGAAACTATAGTATGTCATCCCTAATTTCTCTTTTATTTTTTCCGTTGCATTTTTTAGTGTAATAAAAAGAAAACAGAGTTCTATATTGACAAAAAAAATAGTGAGATATTCCGATCTTATATTCGTAATAGCGCCACGGCAGTCATTTTATACATACTTTTCGTCCGCACGTAGAACCGTGATACGAATTGCTTTTTCATTTTGTGTCCATGCCACCGAGGAGAACGAGTAATGCGATGAAAAGGTTTATTACGTCGAGATACAAATCGATTGCTGCAATAATGTATTCTAATGCGAGAAAATCAGCAAATGCCAGAAAAACCCACATGCACTCGAACAATGACGTAACACTAACCTTCAGGACTGAGCTTGATAAATAACATGTACGTATCATAAAGGATATATCCACAGAATACGGCTGCAGACAACACGGAAATGGCGACGTGGTATGCACGATCAAATGGAAGCAGCCATCCGATAATTCCGGAAAATATAATGACCCACAATCCAGCATACAAAAACGGCGCCCAGGACGAAAAGTTGATTCGTGATTGTAGAGTAAACACCACAAGAGAAGCAAACACGCCGATTGTTATGAGAAAGGTCTGAATGACTATTTTCGCTTCATATGTAGCAACTGGTTGGGGGAGGAGTAAGCATATTGTTGGGTCTTTTTAACAAGATGGAGTTGCTTATATAAATCAAACCAATTTTTAATATATTTACCTATCGTGGCAATGCCATACGATATGGCTAATGTAAATATAATATGTAGCAACAGGTTCAATGGATGACTTTTTCGTTTCCAGAGCAGAAAAATAAGTGTGACAAATGCAATAAACCATGAAACAAAGAAGAGGTAATTGCTAAGTAAGATAAATAAATAAATAAATAAATAAATAAATAAATAAATAAATGTTATTTATTTATTTATTTATTAATTATTTTTTCAAGTTAATATTGGTCACGGGATTAAACAAAATTCGGATTAGATATTTATGAATTTTACCTGTGTATGACAAAGTTTTTCGTAGCATCATGATTCATGAATAAAACACACATTGCAGTCGTCACAGCCAGCTGTGAAAAGAGAAGAGAATATACTTTTCTTACAAAAGCTGAGAGAGAGACGACAGCATTTTGTTAATGAATTTTAGTAAAATACAGGCTGCATGTGGGAGATCGTATACTAAATCAGTCGGCTTACATACCCATTCGAACTTGCGCTTCCATTTTTTCGTATTCATCCATTTTTCTTTCGACTTCTTCAACATCATTCAAGCTCAGAACCGTCTCAGCTCTGTCGCCATCTTCACTATGACCATGGTCTTTACTCTCACTCGAGTACTCGGGCGGTGGTAGCAAATAGACATATTGATTTTCACATGAATGATGCGAATGGGCTTTTTCTAAACATTCGTTTTGCAAAGAGCCAACTGAACTTTTGCGGTCGGACGAGTAATCCGTAGCGTTGGTAGATGAAAACGAGTCGTGTCGGGATGATTTCTTTGAACACACAAATGCATTTGAAGGTAGTGTTAGCTGATGGATTTGTTGAGGTAATGATGAAACAGGTAGACTAGAGGTTCGCGGAAGAGGTCGTACAAGTGGTTCAAGGGACGATGAAAGTGGAGAAAAGAGAGAAGGAGATCTGGAAGGGGATTGTTGTATTACAGGAATACTTGATCTATATGGTTCTTGGGATGACATTTAGGAAAAGGGGAAGTGAAAAGGACGGTAATGGTGAAATAGAGATGTGTTTAATTTATCAAGTATCGAATCATCACATAACAAACGCTACATTGAAATTCACCTTTCTATACTGCTGTTTTTAATATACTTGAAACTTTTTAATTGGATTATAGAAACTTCGCGACTCTGTACCACCGATACGTTGCCATTATGGCAATTGGAAATAATAAAAGCCTACAATGGTGTTACGCCCGTATAGGCCCCTTAGTTAAAAATAGTACATTAGAGTTTTTCCTGAAAGCACCAATAATTCGAAATATACATTACGTATACATTCCTTTTATATTTTATGGGGGGATTATTAACCGGACAATGGTTGTGCCCCGAGTTAGAATTTAATATGTGCAAACCATGTGACGATAAAATTACTAGTGGTCAAACCCTGGCTTTCTACTGAACTCGTCTCGTTCGAAATGCCAGAAAGTCTATAATAATCGTTATTTATATTGTCTTTTTCGACTACAATCATATGGATCTATTAATACATATTATGTGATACAGTTTACTATTCACATATCAACGTAACGATTGGACTTGACAGCTATTTATTGTTGTCGTTATTGTTGTTATTATTATTATGGAAGGTCTCTTACCAACTAATCACGCAACTCGGAAGCTTGCTTCTTTTTTACAGATTAAATGTATGAATTATAATATAAGGCAACGTTTTTTGGACTATTCCGCATTTATACATATGGCGATTTGTAAAATAATACCTTTAATCATGTGCTCGGTTACAACCATCAGTGCATAAAATAAAGGATATTTTATCAACAAAGAATATAGCGGACAGCGTCCGACGCGCCAAATCTTGATTAGTAATGAAAATTTTGGAAGTTCTTCCGGAATATTCGAAAAAAGTTTGTTTCAGGTTAACTGAATCGTAGTGCTGTCTCTGATAGATTGCGTATCCAATTCGATTGAACGTTAGTCACAAGCGCAAGTTGCATTGAAATTAGCGCGGGATATCCTAAAATAGATACAACAGAATAACTTTATTCACAATAAATTACAGAATTCGAAACATACCATACAAGAATAGTGTGGGTGTAATGTCTACTTGAATATTCACTTGCTTGATGCTAACATGTTCTTTGCTAAATATTACCCCTCATCACACTCTTCCCCTTCTCCATCAACTTTTCTTTCTCTATGTCCTTTGCATCCTGACCATCACCAACAAATTTATCCTTACAGCACGGATAACAGACTAGGATTCTCGTAATCAGCTTAAACAGCGCATACACAATAACTTCATCCTGCTCTACGGTCCAAATATTGCTAAGCCATGAAAGCATATTCAGCAACGAAAGCATAATAATCGCCACCGAAGATATAACCAGGGTAGACTGAGCGATCATTGCTTGATTCTGTAATTCAGTTTCCGTCGGCTCAACGGTCGAATTGTCGACTGGAAATTGGCGACGGAAGAAAGAGCTACTCGATTCCGGACCTTCTTCAGTTTCGAGCACTTCGTATTTACTGTGCGATGATAACGCCGTCACAACGACGATTAGCGTCTGGCTTATGAAATTGATAATGTCGGCAAACTGTGCATCGGATTTTCTGACCGCCTTGTAGTAGGATTTCAATGATGAGCCAAACAGATGGAATATCTGCAACGGACCTCCAAAGTAAATCGGCCCTCTTAATCCCTTGTACAATGCATCTTCGCCTCGAGGATGGAGTCGAGTATACACCAACACCAAGGCATTGGCAATAATAAAGAATCCAACCTGTAAGGTACATGTAGCTCCGCTTATTTTTCCAACGGTCGTAAACTTTAGAAAATCCCATTCCGTGACGTCAAACGATTTAATGAACACATTATACATGAAATCCCCGAATGACTTTGAGGGACCCAGCAGAGTCAAGCAATTTAATGCTAGTGAAGTATAGTAGAGCAGAAAGGTCAACAGTCTGTCCAACTTGAATATTCGGAGTGTGATTTCTCGCGCTTCTGCATTTCGTTCGGCGGGAGTGTCTGGGTCAACGTGCCGTATAAAATTTTCAATGTCATCTTTTATTCCAATTTCTTGCAGTATTCCTAAAGCCGATTTAACCGAATCGCTGGTAACGCGTCGTTCGAGGGTGGATGTTTTATCTAACAAGTCACTACTTGCCTTTTGTATGTTGACCGCTACTTGCGGGTTCGGAACTTTTTTTCCTGGTGTAGACATAATTGTGAGTAAAAACGCAAAGAAAACGATAGCTTTGCATAATCAATGAATTACCAGCAGGTAATGCTCCATTATTCTCGGCATAGCCTCATCGCGTACCTTTGCTTCAATCCTTCATATTGGAATTTTGTGTAACTGTCATCGTGGACTAAGCCATATAAGTGCGTGGCAGTGCTGGGGGGGGGGGGCGAAGATTGAAGCAATTGAAAAGCCATAACTGATATTCTCTACTGGTGGAGACGAGATGTAAAAACGATGACAATAATAATCATAACATCATTGCCTTGTTAATCGAATTTGCATTTCTTGAAGCAGACTGGATTTCCTGTTCTGAAGAAAAATTTTTGTATCCGTGCGCTTAGTGGCTTTGTGCCTCGCAGAATCAAAGTATAAGCCGCCGAAATCATTAGGGATCATTCATTTCATGAACGTTTTTCATCTGCAAATGACAAAATTCGCGTGAGCAACCCTTGGATATCTTACTATTACAACCAGTGCTAAAATACTCGCTTGATCAACTGGGCAAATATATGTAAGTACGATGCCTAAACGTTACGTTCGCTTAATCTCGATGATGTTCTGTAGTACTCTGAAACAATTTGATACATGTAGACCTATGTATTAGCTGCTGAGAACAGAAGCTCTAATGCTGATAACGTCCTTGTCGAACAAGTATTAACATTATATTATTTCAAAAGTTAGGGGAGTAGAAGATCGAAAGCTGTGATTGTTTATGAGGGCGTGGCGTCCATATGCGCATTCAATCAATGCTGCTTACCACGAATGCTTCTACATAATCACAACTGCATAATAATAAGCTTTGATGCAACAGTAATAACAGTAATGGACTTAATATTAAAATAAGAGCACCGTAATTATAATGACGTGCATTCTCTCTTTATTTCTTTATAATTTGACAGCCTAATCATTGTATGTATCAGTTACAAGAAAAAATAGCACTGGTATTTGAATGTAATTTAGAGTCTACAAAAGATAACGGATATGGATAAGACTCTGGTCTTGGTTGTTGAAGATGACTATCTGCAATGGCAGATTGTTCTACTCCCTCAATTAGTAAAACGTATGCGAAAACCTGTATTGGCGTTATTTAGTAAGCAAACGATGAAAATGTTTATATCGTTATGAAGCTAATTGACTGTAGTTTCTGAATGGAGCGCTCAGAAATTGGAACGTTGAAGTATGTCTTAGCCATCGTGATGACGCGTCTGAAAAAAATTTGTATTTGCTGCAAATAAGTTATACATTGTGGCTTCAGTTTATGTGTTGATTGTGCGAGTTTACATTTCCACTTACCAAAAGGTGACCGATCTTGAGCTTATATCAACGCACAATGCGTTTCACTTCATGATTTCCAAGTATGCATGCCTTCTGAGTATTAGTATGTGTGATGATCATCCTGATGTCTCTACTGCAACACCTGTTGTATTAATGAAGCACTGGGATTGGATGACTTGTGCTTGCCCCAGTCTGAGTTTAATGAACTGGTGACCAACTTCACAACCATTCCTCCAACTGTATGTGACAAACATCAACATAATTTTTCCAGTTCTTCTGCCATGCTTCATTATTTGGCTCTGAGTATTTCAAAGTGATTATGAATATACAAGCACTTATATGGTTAGATAATTTGAGATGTCAGATGACTTCATGTTCCTACATAGTAATAGAGCACTTGAACATATTGATTCATCTTCAACCTTCACTCTCTATCTCTCCACACATGATAATATTAATATTAATATCACAGAGTCTGTCACCAAGAAGTTCAGATGCTCTGGTTTTATCACACAGTTAGCCATACTAATGCTGGTTGTCTGCAATTGCTGCCCCATTGGTGCAGATTATCCTGGCTGGGATTCTGTATTCAGCACCTTTGAACCTATCATAGTCAAGAGATGTTGAAGAATTATTATTTCCCATCATTCAACACCTGTGATCATCTGTCCTTCACAATTCACTTGGCTCTGGACATGATTTCAATGAAGCTTAGTTGAGAAACATGGCAGCTTGAATTTTATATTTACTGCAATGACAGCTGTGCCAAAGAAAATCACTGTCAGCCCTGAGGTTGGTGCAGTTTTTGGTTCACCTGATTTGTGGATTATTACATTGATGGTGATCTGAACCGGAGAGTAGAGCTTTTGCATGAGGATGATAGGATGAATCAGCATTACTCACGATTTCAAGAAGTTAAAATTTATGAAAAAAATACCTCTCATACTCAATTGCTGGGCTCTGATAGATTGCTTCCATGATTGTCAAAGAATTATGTGAAAACTTCTGGCATGTTTGTTACTCAGAAGATTAAAATGATGTCACTATCAAATGTTTAAACAAACATATCTTTGCAGGGAGATGAAGTTTATCCTGTTGATTTGCTCCCTTCAACTCTATACTTTAGCTTCTGTGGATGATAAATAATAAATAAGCCCTCTTTTTCACCACAGCTTATATTGCAGTATGGCATCAGAACATACTATTCTCACAAAAATATTCTAGGTAACATAATGAAATTGATATATGGCTACTTTATAATATTGGTATTAGTATGAGCTTCAAATATCTTCAATATGTTGGCTTGTATTGTTGTCTATTGTACTAAATACCCAATATACCATAACATGTTAAATAAATTCTTGTGCTGATTTCTGCATGATAAGGAATAGGTAATAATAATGGCTGCTAAATATATATATATAACTTTGTTTATTCATGCACTGAAAAGAATTGTCTAAAGAAAAAAGTGTGATAAAATTTGTATAGTCAATGCTGTTTATACTAATACCAACAACAGTAATATTAATATGGACAAAATTCTGCTACTAATATCAGTGACGTATTCCTCCTTGGTGGTACAATAATCTCTAATTCTGCGGCATAGTTATTCGGTACGCCTCACAGCAATTCCCAATATAGTGCGCAGAGTCATCCGCGCTAACTCCCTTCAGAAATATCTTTAGCATGTCTACAAATATTTCTTATAATCGTCCTTTTAACATAGCCCTTTATATTTAATGATGCGACAAATCTTATTAATTTTTACTTGCTACTTGTGTATACTGAGACGAAGGTTTGTAAATTCGATCTTGTCATCGAATTTGCCTAATCCCGTAAATTACAATCGACGTATTACTCGACGATTAAATAGTAATTTACAGGAATGTATATCGTGAGTATCATAAACCTGTTTAAATTGTCAAGTAGATTACGCGTAGCCGAAGACTTCATAAATCTCAGGTGTTACAAGAAAGCTTTTTCAATCATATTGGTCGATTTACACTCAGGCACTTTGTGTTATATGATACATGCTAGCTTGTACATATCTAGCTAAAACCTTTATTCTTGGCGTAATAAAATCGCGTCTAGCCTTCTGTTTCTTCTACATGTCACTGTAATATGTATTTCTTCATCTTTAGTAAGTGAGCCGACGAACAAGTTCATTTGTCACATTTGTCACATTTGTCACATTTGTGATTATATTTTGTGAATAAAGTTTGACGCTTTGGATTTTGCGTACTGCATACAGTCAACCGTTATGCATGGGACCATATGGTCAAGTCAGACATGACTTGCATTTACAGAGAGTAAATATTTAATAATTTATAGGCTCGGGACCAAACTAGAGGAATACTGATCGCACTTCATTTAAAGGGTTGGCTGTATGTCGAATTACATCAAATTTTCTCAAAATCCACAATACTTTTATTAGGCTAATGTATTGATAACATCAGAGCCATCATCTGGTATGGTGAATTGCTTAATAATAGTAATTATGCTCTCTCTCAATCCCAGACTAGACAACTTGTCTTCCAACCGCATGCAATAAATTTGTACTATAACTACTTTTATGAGTCTTCTGGTGTTTATGATTATTAATCTGTTTCAATTGATTTGACGAAACTATTTTCCGTGTGTAACAACATATAACAATACTCTAGCAATATGTTACGGGTGCTATCGCCCCTCCCTCACTTGAAATAATGTCCCTAATTTGAATCGTTAATGTTACTCAGTTCCATTTCTTTAAGAGCGACTGCACAAGCCTGACCGCCAAATCATGTTCGCTTACAGTACTGATTATCGCATGTACGAATTGTTTGTGCTAATAAACTATAATCTATCATAGACGTGTTCGCCAATGACATGCAAGATTAATATCATCTTAATTAATTGGGCGATTAAACTTTTTCGATACGATACCAATTGTATTTAACAAGGGGGTTTCAGTTTTTTGCTGTGACCAATTGACTGTTTAAGGCCTCCTCTTAACCTTATCTCATCTCGTTATCATTCTTCTCAATCGATTATATATGCTAATGGGGACGCTCACCAATAGACCCGAACCAATATTATAACATGACCATAAGTGCATCAATGAATAGCAAATAAGTTATAGTTAATCTGATACTAACTTTAAAGCGCAAGTTTGATGTAAACTCTGAGTTGCCTAAACTGGTATAGTGAGTATGATTAAATAATGACATCATAATGCTTCTCGCCTATCAACACAAATGTGAGATTACAACAATAGACAGACTGCTATTACGTATACATTCCTTAATATGCACTCTATTTTTTCGACCACTGAAAGTTTAAGATTACAAATTAGGTTTTTTTCAGGGACAATCACGTGAATCAAACATTGGCGTTAGTTCATTTAAAGTATTTAATCTGCCCTTAAAGATTTTTTGCATAACGAATCAATTTAGAATGTTATATTTTCGCGCATGGAAAAATGTCCCCGATCTTTCAATACTACCAAAATGGTCTTCGGTCTCTTTGCCACGTCTGGGTCCCAGAATGACGGACCGTGAACGAAGATTGATCCAGACGAGCATTATCAGATTCTCTCATCAAACAAGTAAACAAGATGGGAGAACAACCCCTGTTGCAGTCACTCCCCCTGTATTAGATAATGATAGGTACAAAGAAGCTTCTCCATGGATCGATAGGTTATTACCAAAGCATTTAATTCCGTATGCACGGTTGGCAAGGCTGGATAGGCCAATCGGTACATGGCTACTCTATCTGCCATGCAGTAAGCACAGTTAATACTTTTTACGTCTAAAAAGTATCACACTATATATTATGATTGAAAATTTTCAACAACTTTACAAACCGTTTTTAGCATGGAGCATATCAATGGCTTCATATCACGCCCAACTCCCAATATCACAGTCACTGCAAATGCTTGGCTTGTTTGGCATTGGCGCACTTGTCATGAGGGGAGCAGGATGTACGATAAATGATATGTGGGATTCACGAATCGACAAGCTTGTAGAAAGAACACAATTACGACCTCTTGCATCAGGGGAGATAACACAGTTCGAGGCATTGTCATTCCTAGGAATACAGCTATCTGCAGGATTGGCAGTTCTGACTCAATTAAATTGGTATAGCATATTTCTCGGAGCTAGTTCGTTGGGGCTAGTGACAGTTTATCCATATATGAAACGTGTTACGTTCTGGCCTCAATTATTCCTGGGTTAGTATATAAAACATATAAAAATTGTCAAAAATGGTAAATTCGTTTCAGCCATTTCATTATAATTTATTAGATTGGAAATTTCCAGACATTATCATAAAATAATGACGCGTTAACCAAGACGATTTTACTAAGGAAACCCATCCTTTCTCCCCTCTCACTGGTAGGATTGGCTTTTAATTGGGGAGCTCTGCTTGGCTGGCCGGCCATGTTGGGTAGCAGCAATTGGGCTGTAACACTGCCTTTGTATGCGAGTGGAGTGTGTTGGACTCTGGTATTTGATACAATTTACGCTCACCAGGTAAAAAAAAAAACTCGACTGAAGCGGTACAAGCCTTTTTCTTGCAATCACTGAATATATGTATGTATGTTTAAATGTATATATCAACAGGACAAATTATTTGATTCGAAAATTGGTATGAAATCAACTGCATTACTCTTTGGTCAGAAAACACGTCTCTATCTGTCGTGCTTCTCGGGTTCAATGCTATCGTTTCTCGCTTTTGCTGGATACATGAACAATCAGGGGTTACCATTTTACCTGATTTCAGTTGTTGGAGCAGGTTCTCATTTGACATGGCAACTGCAAACTACCAATTTTGACGATATTGCTGACTGTGGGAAAAAATTCAGGAGTAACAAGTGGGTGGGTTTATTGATTCTCGGCGGAATAGCCGCGGATGGGATATGGCAAAGTGTTGCAAATTAAGTGGGACAGTCGGCGATTTTGCATAGAAAAATGCTCGCAATTTTTATAGCTCAAGACAATCTCGCAAGTATAAAATTCGAGAGAGATGTGAACAACAGCTAGACAAGATTTTACTTTAACACGTGACTATGGCCTAACCTGAAAATTATGACATGTGTGTTACAAGTATGGATCAGGGTATAAACAAAAATAGGGCTGAGGTCTCTACTGTGTTACAACATTCTTTAAAATACATTGTGAGGCCATGAATAAAGGTCCTATAGTCAAATAATAAATACATGTTCGATAAGCGTCCTTCTTTTATTCTAAAACCCACTCTGACTATACAATTACAATATAAATGTTCTGCTTGTAGATTTTTGAAATGGTCAATAGAAATTATAAAGTTACAGCATAGGAATATATTTATTATTCAAGAGGTCTGAAAAATGCGATCGGTTATAAATATAATATGCGGTAATAATATCTGCTAAATTGTATCCTGATTAAACAATTATTCGAAACATAAATTTATTTTATTCTAATATTTTTCGATAACCAATTAATGTTTACAAGGTGCACTCACCGCATCAATTATCGGGTCCCCTGCGTTTTTTATGGATACTAGTGAGTTCCCCTAGCAAGGATCGTCGAACGTGATAGCCATACACTTGCGATCGCAACCCCAAGGCGTCGCATAACATTGGATTTTTTTTTTGCCGTTCTAACATTCCACTTCCAATTATGTGTTAAGGAAAGTCAACTATTTCGACACTCCACTGTGAAGGAAATAGTAAGGATGAGCAAGATGACGACAAAGTAAATTATTGCTTATAAATAGATCGAATACATCAATGGGCTAATGTGGTAGATCGTGTAACTGTGCTAACGTTATATGAGCTTCCCAGGTCAAGTGCAGCGGTCCCAGCCCAGTAAGCTTGTATATACACTTTATTTGATAAATTACCTTGTCATTGTCTTCGTGCCCAGGTCCGAAACATGTCACTTCTTGCAAGTCATCATACAAAGTAATGTTGTGACTGTGTAATGTAGCTCCGGTTTGTATATGACGTAGGGTGATAACATCATTAACCATCCAGTAACCAGAATTGTCATAGTTATTGGTATACGAATGTCGTTGAACAAGCCAGTTGTCATTGATATCACTGATTTGATCATCGCCGAAGCAGGTCACTAGAACAAAGAAGATTGCAATATTTGGTAATTGGAATGATATTAAGGCAATCGAACCTCCCCAACCAGAATGTGAGAGAGAGAAAAAAAAAGAGTTTGTGATAGGAAATTACGTCACAGCGAAACCATTACTGCAGACACTATCGCCCTCATCTGCAAACCTAATCTATCGATGCACCCACTCGCACTGTTGGTCCTACCTTCTTGTTGATTTGTCTTTGGTGATGCAACATCGGAATGCGAATGTAGATTTCGACGCGTTATTTTATGTCGCAGGCGTACTGGTGTATTATACGAAATTACATCGGCAACCTTTCGTTTTTCTCCGAATGCGGGAAGAATGATCCAATAGTGACCCTCGTCCGGAGGCCAACAACAAGCAAATACTTCCTGTGTGGGATAGCAAAGACAAGAATGAGAGAGAGGTAGAGAGATAGGGATAGAGATAGAGAGAGAGGGAGGGAGAGAGGGAGAGAGAGATAGAAGGAGGTTGATGGATTGAAAAGATGTGCACATGGCGCAAGGCAGGTGTATTCGAAAACGTTGAACGAGAGAACGGGCATTCGTCAAATGGCATAACCGTGTGCCGGATCTGACAACTAATTTGCACTATAAGATATTCCCTCTTTTCCAAACTTGTACCCATACGACCCCCCGGTGCAAACCTGCTGTTTAGAACCCGCTCTATAATTTACGGGATGGCTTGACAAGAGCTGTCCGGTGGCATTGTGCTTCAGAACTATATGAGACCCAAAACGTATGAAGCTGTCAGTCTTTGAGTTACATATTCCTTGTTCTTGTTGTCGTTGATACGCTGACGAAGACTGTCCTTCGTATTGACTAACATTATTGCTGAGTGAATTTGCAAATCTTCCCAGATTTGAATCGTGTCGGTCGTCTGTCATTATACGCTCTTCCACTCCGGTAAGTCCCATCTCTTATATTTTGACCATACGAATACAAATACAAAGTTTGTACATTTGATGTTATACTGGAATAATAAAGAATTACTGTAATAAAACGGATAATAGCTAATTAACCAATGTCATGAAACAAACAAAAAAAATTTTGTCTTTTGTTATTGATGGCAACGACGACGTCGAGGAGGGGAGGAATACAAGGTAGAGAAACGCAATTTATTATTGTTGAACAGGAATATCTAGTCTAAATGTGGAATAGCGGGGCCTAACAAAAAAATTTTGTCACTTTTTGAGATCGTCACGCATAAATATCACAAAACTGTAGAATAAAAGATAACCCGCACAATTTAAAATGTCTTTTGTAGATTACATTAACCTCACGTTTGATGCGAATAATCATCAACTAGAAGACAACTATACTATTGAAAAGGCTTTCTTTTTAATTTGGACAACAAGACATAATAATAATAATCACACATCCATAGATTCATTAAATCTGATTTTAATCATTCGTTCCATCTCTAACCTCATATTCGCTCTATCATTGCCTTGCAATAAAGAAAAAGCTAGTGCAAAAACATTATACAAATGACTCAAAAATATGAATAAAAGTTTCTCACTTGTCACATGCTTAATAGTTAAACCGAGTATGTCACTTTTTAAGGATATAATTTCCATGATATAACAATAAAGTATTTGTTGAAGCATTATCAATAAAAATATACAAAGATTGTTTGTAGACTAATATTTATTAGTTTAGTTGCAGTGAACTATTTATATTTATACAATGAATTAAACTGTTTTCTACGACAATTTCGTTTAAACTTTTTGAGAGAAAGATTGGAGAATGAACCCAATAAAAGCAAAACAATCATAATCGATTAACTGTGTTGAGACAGACCCTCCGAGCTTTTCCATACAGCAAGGAAAGAAAAGTAATGCAGATTTGTTGATTTGAAAATCTTTTTCCAAATTTTTCGGTAAAAACAACGAGACTAGATAATTTATCTAAACCCTAATATTAATTATCTTTATGCGTTAATGTGTATAGGGTCTTTAATGAACAATATTGCTACACTTGTCGGTTATAGCTAAAAAGTTCAACTTACTTTTAAATAAAAAAGATCGGCAAAAAGATTGTTATTTGAATGCCAGGTTAGTGATATGTAACTGTTACGGTTCAGCAAGGATCGAGTTGATTCAAAAGATTATCGTTAATACATTTTAAATTCCAATCGTCTCTTCATATGAATGCTCTTGTAACAATTTCACAAAGCACGAGTTATTTCAATACCCTGGACAACTTTCAAAACGGTGCATTTTGTCTGTAATCTCGTTGAAATGTATAACTGTTGCGTATCCGCATAATTTGGATAACAAATTTCTCGATCGTCACCTAACTGAACTTTTTAACTAGAGATTTAATCACATCGTTACTCTATTTGAACGGATGCAGGATCACTGACCGCAAATGGCAAATTCCTGCATTACGTGATCCATTGATGATTGCGCAATGCGCATACTCACATGCAACGTGTGACCCATTACAATGACGTAAACAAATGTGTTTCTCAATATAGCGGACATTTTGACGATCCCTTCGAAACATGCCTCCACAACATTTTCGATCCGATTTTAAACAGGTCACATTAAATATGATAATTAATTAATGATGAATTGTTCTTTCGGGAAAAGAAATTGCATCCGAACGAAATTCTAATTTTACTTGGACTTTACTCCCCTCTACTCCCCCCCCCCCTCAAATCGTAAAATCGGACACAGTCATTCGGCAGGACCAAAGCGGGACATATGCTCTCAAATTTGTTACACCAGAAGCAGAATGATGTCATAGTATTGATGATTGTATTTGTGTTAACTTTTACGGTATGCACCGATCAGCAAGCTGTGATAAGTATAAACGAGAAAAGACGAGTGACGGCAGACAAATTTTGATGTATCACACAAATATATCCCTTTCAAAAAAATCTGCTCGTGGAGATCGTACATAACTCACTTCTCCGTGCGTTGGTTGTTATCCCACAAACATAACTTCTTTTTGTGGTTAGGTCGGGGTCATCTTTTTTCAGTTCAGTGTGTCAGACAATACAATTGGAGATTTGACAATAGGTGTGGGAATGACAAAGAACTCGGTTTTACATTATGTCCTGTATGACCGGGACGAATGCGTAGTTCAATGGATACTGCAATCGCATTGCCAAAGTTAGATTTTATAAGGATGCCAGTGTTACGAGTATGCATTCCCCTTTTCGTTGTTTGCCCTCTATTGCCTTGTGGCTTACATTTTATGGTTTACCGCATTCCCTTAGTAATCCTTGATAGGAATGTTCTTTGGCAAAGTTCCCAGATCTCTTTTTTTTTTCCCCTGCTTGGCACTGCTTACTACTGCCATCGTCAATTGGACGTGCTTTTGCATCCGAGAATCTTATAATCATATTTTAAAACGTGAGCTTTCGTGTGTCCAATAAAATTTTAATCAATATTAATTAATGCACATCAAACTCTAAATTTATCTGCAAATAGAAAATTTCTTTTATTGAAGAAACCATCGCCCATAACTGCGTATAAGAGATGAGTTTCCAACAGACCAACATAATAACAGATACTTCTATTTGTTTATATTTGTCTATTACAATAAAGCATTGTGTTTTTAAGGCTCCACGAGTACTACATATATAGTTACAGTGACGTCTTTTGTTTAGCGCATCCATAATTAAGAATTAAAGAATTACTGAATGTCTTAACTTCTTCAGTCAGAACTGTAATGAAAGTTTCGCGTATTCACGTTTATTCTTCTCTTCCTGTACTAGTACGCAGCATCACTTATTACGCCACAAAGAAAGTCCAATTGTTCGGAAAGGCTGTTATAATTAAGGTATAGTCGATCATAGCAAAAATTGATTTACAGAGCATTCCCGCTCGGCGGGAAAACTGATTAAATATATAACTGTTTCTATTCACATAAGTGTTTTACAGAACGTGATTGTAGACATAATTGACGATAAGCTCGTATACATAATTCTTTGTGATTTTGCCGACGAACGTGTTACAGACGAAACTGCTCTAGTCAATTTTTGTTGGCAAATTTTGTCTCCAAGATTTATACTGATCACATAATGATAATAACACTAGAATCAAGTCTCAAGATTAATACAGAGCGAATTCCCCTTATTTGGAAATAATTATCAAGAAGTCTGAAAAGAGACACACGCGAACCACTGATCCTCTGTCGATTAAGCGTATTTGACTCTTGTTCCTCAGATATCCTGGTGGTAATTGTTTAATTGAAGGTCACTAACTGGCGTTGTATTTTTATAGCTCCCCCGTTCGAAAATAGCTAAATCTCAGGTCAAGAGTGATGCGACCTTTTTACTCGACAGTATTATTCCTATTAATATCGATTTGAAAAGTCTTTTTTTTCATTCGCAAGTGCTAGGATGTTCACACAACTGATATTTTCAATTGTGGCAAGAACCAGAACCAACAGCTTGATATGTGTTGCCAAGAGTAGAGTTAATAGATGTGCTGAAACGGTTAAGAAAGAAATACCGCCCACATTACAACAAACATTATACACGATACGAGACAACCAATAAAGAGATCCATCGCCTGCTCGACAACAGCAAATCCGCCAGCACTACGGCATCTGGATGTTAGTGATTCCAATAATTCTATTGAGAATGTATTGGTATAGTTCTCTCACTTGTTGTGTTAGCATTGTCCTCATGTGATTAACGTGCTATTTTTACTTGAAGGCAAAATGTTGGGCATAGCCTTTCTGTATGAGTAGGTGCACCATCAACAATACTGCATTCACAGGACGTGAATATGAGTGTCACTGATATGAACGATAAACAGAATTTCTTTGCTGTACTCAAGGAGATACGAGAAATGAGAATTGATCCATGGCTATCCAACAGTCTTGACGTTAATCCAATTAAAAATATATAACGATGATAAATTCTCAAGAGGTAGTTAGTAGTGAACCAGTTTTTGTAATGGCGATAGTCCCATACTAAAAATTTGCCATTAAATAAAATAATTAATTATTAACAAACAAACTTGAATTTGTTTAATTTGAATTCATCATTGTTGAGAGGTTCTACAATGTTGTCCGAAGTCTCTTTCCAAGGTTGACGCTTCTAATTGTCATCACTTGCTAGTCCAAGTCCGTATTCTGCAAGATACGACTTGGAAATCGTGGACGGACTAGAAACAAGAAGATCGCTGCCGGATGAAGACTTGGGAAAAGCTATTACATCCCGTATTGAACTGGAACCGCATATTATGGCCATCAGCCTGTCAAAACCTGTCCCAGAGAAGATAATGCAACACACAAGTTTAATAATAATGCAAGTATTAGCCGCCATAAGAAATTAGCCAATAACTTTACCTAGCGCGATACCTCCATGTGGTGGGCATCCATGTCCAAGAGCGTCTATCAGGTGTTTGAAGGCATTTCTCTCTTCAACGTTCAACTACAAAAGAGAACCATTAATGTGTGGTGACAATTTCAATAACCAGGTAGGGCCTTGCAAACCGTTCAATCAACATACGTTTAATATCTTCTCCAAGACCATCGTTTGCAATTCTGGCGAATGTATTCGAATTGATCCACCTCCAACTTCAACGCCGTTTATCACCAAATCATAATGTTGACCATGGACCTAGCAAACCCCCCCCGTTTAGAGTCAGTTTTACCGCATTCCAGACTAAAGATTCAAGTGTCTAGAAAATTCTTACCTTTTCAGGATCAGAATTTAACAGTTCCAAGTCTTTAGGGCATGGAGCTGTGAACGGATGATGGGTAGATCTGAGAGCGTTGGACTCTTTCTCGCGGGTAAAGAGGGGAAACGAGTCAACCCAGAGGAAGTCATATTGAGATTGAGGTATCGACAGGAGACCTAATTGGTAATCATAACGCTCGGGTTGTTAACGTTTCATGTGGACAGTCAACATTTGTACTGATCGTATACCTTTCTTTTGCAAAAGAGAGCTTGCGTGTGAACGCACACGTCCCATCGGTGTCCATCCTCCCTAATTTGTATATGTTAACTTTTCCGGTAATTAATTTTTCGTTTAAAACCATTTGCTTACCGAGATAAATCTATCTCTCATCCCCAAGACAATTAAATCTCCAGCTTCAATATCCTCATCGCCCAACATTCTTCTCGCAATCTCTTCGGCATTTGATATTTTCTTGCCAACGTATGTTTTTGCCATCCATGACGTGATATTATCTGAATTGACCTTGATGAAATCCAGGTACTACTAACAACGTAAACGAGTTAAAAAAGGAAACCCGAAAAAAAAAAGAAGAAAGCTCCAAACATATACATTGGTTTGTTGTTCCTTGATACTGACCATATTATTTTCATTCTTGCCCGCATCAGATTGGGATTCAGCAACAGCTTGAAGCGACTTGATTTCACCCCCAGTGAAAGAACTACCACGTTTTATTACAAGGCATTCAATAGTGTTGGAAGAGTTCCACGGAGCGTCTGGGAAGTAGGATGTAATATCCGAGATCTAAGTAAAATGTGGTTAAACCCCAAAGGTAAAACGCTGTATAAGGCGAAATAAGGATGCCAATACAACCTTCATCCCGTATCTTGTATCTGGTTTATCGGTGCCGTACTGAAAAAGAATTCCAAGGTTGATTGATAAGGGAAAAAACCACCTCATTGGCAAAATACCAGGATTGTTCGATATTCATTTTTCATGTTGTTATTACCCGAGTCATGGCATCTTTGTATGAAATCGTCTTGAATCCTTCTGATATATCCACATCAGCATGAAGAAGCTGTTTCCAAATTCTGCCAATCAATTCTTCGACTAGTTTTTTGATATCGTTCGCCGAGGCAAATGAAAGTTCTAGATCTATCTAATAAACCAACATGATTAGTATCAATCAAGACGTCAAATGCAGAGTTTTTCTTCTTTGTCTTACTTGGGTAAATTCGGGCTGTCTGTCGGCACGTAAACCTTCATCTCGGAAACATTTTGCTATCTGGAAGTACCTATCTATTCCAGACGCCATTAACAGCTGTTTGTACTGAAAAGGACGTATGATTAAAGTTGAAACACAAACTCTATTAGGATGACTCTGTTACTAATTTTCATAGACTACTACCTGTTGAGGACTTTGTGTTAGAGCATAGAACATCCCAACGTTCTGTGTGGGTACAATGAACTCTCGAGCGCCTTCTGATGTGTGCTTAAAAAGAATTGGTGTCTCAACCTCCGTAAAACCTAAATAGACGCTTTTAATATTGAACGAGAATTTTATAAATCATCAAAAAGTTCATTTGAAACGCGCGTCTGACCCTTTTGAATTAAAAAATCTCGAATAATCCACCCAGCGTGTGATCTTTTTCGTAGGTTCTGTTGTAGAACAGGCTGCCGAAGATCAATGTGTCTATTACGTAAACGGATATCCTCTTTAAGCTATTTAGTCAATAGCAACAACATTGAGTATCCAAACATGGCAATAAACGATTCTGTTATTAAACAAACTAGTGTCAAACAACGAACCAATTTCTTTTCTGAGGGATAAAACGGCAAGTTCTTGGCTTCGTTTAATACACATAATTTCTCCATCTCAACTTCAATCTCTCCTGTCGATGTTTGCTATTAACAGCGTATAATTGTAAACACGAGCTTAATATGAATGATTAACCTGCTTCACGTTGCATTCGATTACTTTATCAACTTCACCTTATCAACCATGTCATCGGATCTGGCGACAACCATGCCCTCAACACAGACCACACTCTCATTCGACAATGTATCAATAGTTTTCTTCAATGAAATGGACGAGTCGTTCGTTCCATTTCTGTATATTAATTGAGTGGTACCATATGAATCACGAATCGGAACAAATACTAATTCTGGGGATAGTTTCCTGTATCAATACACATCACAAAAGTTAATGGAGGTTAGATCGAACGAATAGACATTATCCACATATACCTGACAGCTTGAATCCATCCATTGAGAACAACACGTGATCCTACATGAGTTAACCCGAGTTCTCCACAAGTATGAGTTCGAGGTGAACAAGAAGATAGACAGCGGGAGAGAGAGAAATTGCGAGGAACGTGAGGATACAAGAGGCAATGGCGCCTGAAGGTTGATAAAGCAAACATTTGAAGTCAAGAAAGAAATGAGTGCATCAGTTGATCATAAAAACCAAAAATTTCATGCAGTGCATTGTCATGCCATACAGCATTCAACCAACCCTTCTATAATAAGCATTCTGCATTGCATAGGTATGTCCCATTCTATCTAAATGCATGCCAGTAGTTTTGCTGTGACGTTTATTGAATATCTATGTAATAATAATAATAATAATAATAATAAAGAAATTCAACAAGGGTATTCGAGTGACCTAACAGATCATGTAGGCGTGTAAATTGAATGTCATTGTTATTCGAATCGTTATGATGATGATCAAACGGTTAAGAAAACATTCGTTCATTCTGCAGCAACAGCAAGACTCTAAAGAGCTGAACGTTCAACCAGTTTTAAATCAGATGATTATTACGATTTCGTTATTTTGTAAAATGAGTTTCTTGAGACTGAGCAGGTTCAGATATTTATTATGATTTCGATATTTTGTAAAAACGAGTTCCTTGAGACTGAGCAGGTTCAGATATTTACAATACATGCGCCAATTGTCTTTTGATATAATTAACTGTCAGATTGCTATTTTACTAAACATAACTCTTGAGACTCATTGCTATCGTCTTCATCTTCCGTATTGACCGTATAAATTATCTGTTCCAAAGAAACAGGGCCTCGCTAGTAATAATAATAATAGGTGCGTGTACATAATCATCTTTATCAATATATTATTTATTATTTCCCCCCAGCTCTCTTATACCTCCCGGCTACTGAATTCTCGTCTATTTCTACCCCTACTACTACTCCCTCCTCCACTTCTTTCTCCTTATCGATCGACCATTCGACCGCCACTTCCATCCAATTTCTTCGCTTACTGCGTTTGCTTGATAATAATACCGTGTCATCACGAGCACCAGCTTCTTCATCACTTGTCGAACTAAGTAATGACAGAACAGACGTTTATAATTTGCTTTAAAACTATGGATAATACCGGCATCCATCGGTTGTAAATGCGCGTTTTGGTGGAAGATAAAGTTCTGACTTCAGGATTTTGAATTTGCCTGATTTAGTGAGTGTCGCACATCCTTATTCCCCCGTTTTAGTACTCTCGAGCTCGAAACGGCCCATTATCAGTGAGTCGGTGAGAATATTTGTATGTGGTGGTCTCGGAATTGCATTAGAATTTCGTCGATTCGCACGGCAAATTAAATTATTGAGTCTGTCCGATTCATTCGTTATAGTGCTACGCCAGTGCTTTTACGTGCGTTGTGTGATATGGAGTCATGCTATTGTTCTGAGTCCGGACAACTGAAAAGCTGTTACCCTTGAGCAGTTGCCGGAGGTGACTTCTTTACTACTATGAGCGTGCCTTACAAAGTGAGCGTCGTGCGTTGTGTGATATGAGTGTCGCGTCGCGTTGATATGAGTGTTGTGTGTCATGAGTGTCGTGTGATGATTAGTGGTGTGGAGGATGTCGTGAGGAGGATGTTTTTGTTGTAAGGAGTCCGCATGACATACCTCCCTACCCACAGTTCGTAAGTATACAAATAAAAAAATTTTTTATTTTACGACAATTACTGTTGTAAGCCCCCGTTGTTGTGATTGTCCGGCGAAGGACTATATCGTGAAAAATTGTCGATCACGTGAATTTCTCTGTCCGGCACATGATCTCGTGTGATTGATGATGAACGCATCTCATTAAAATTGCTACTTTGAATTTTCGCTCCGGACTCATAACGGTTCCCGTTTCCTAGTGTAATTATTTGTTGATCGTTTTAATAATGCCAATGAGAGTTGACACCCCTCGCTATTGTTAAGGGTGGGTGCTTATCCACAGTAGTATACGGTAAACGACTCTGTTGTCAAAGTTTCTACGAAATTAACGGTAAGCTCGACTCTATTTACTGTCTATACGGAAACTCTTTTGATTGCAGGGAATATTATGAAAATGAAAAATTTCGAATAATTTAAAGTGCTAAAAATAATATCGCTAAGGAAAATTATGGCTGATTGGACTGATAGACAGAATGATCAAAGATAGTCGTAAGGAGGTGAGACTTTTGTCATGCGAAAATCTGTGAATAAAAGTTCCTCGTGATATTAGTGTTAGGATATATATTTGTCCAGGCCTTTGTTTTTGAGCAGCTATTGTCTCAGAAATAGTAACAAGGAGGGTAACAATAATGGGTTTGTAAATGGCTTGTTGTCAATTAACTTTATTCGTATTACTTATACGACAACCTTATTCTATAACATGCATAATTTATCAATTGTCATCTGCTTTTAAGGCGCCACAATAATTAAACTCTTGACATATTTTCAATTGGTTGCTAGTAACAATGCTGCAGATACTGCATGACGATGACAGAACCAAGCATCCTAGGAGGTGCGCAATATTAAACATATCCAATCATTTTACGATGTGATTCGATACCTCGTGATTAATGTCTTTGACGTGTTTGACATGTGCAGAAAAACAAAGAGTGCGATATCGTTTCCCACGCTGGCTCTCATGAAGAGATAATTTTTTGCAGAAAGTTTTATCCCTCCTCAATAAGTTATTATGCCTCATTTTTTACGGAAGATGCCATTCGCCTGCTTTTCATTATTAGACTATAAAATGTTTATGCTGTATCGTTTTCTGTATCACCCTTCGCCGTGCTCCTGTAGGTGATTGGCTTATTATCCGATCTCGGTTGTCAATAGAAGAAATTTAATGACGAAAAATTTGATCCATTGTCAGTTGGCGTTACTACTATTTCTGGAACATGATTTAATAACTTTCCGCAGTTACGGCCACTATACGAATTATTTTTGTAGTTGCATATTTGTTATGGAAGTAAAATCCGCTTTAACGAACAGTTTGCGTTACCAAAGTCAGGCGACCTTGGACTGCGAATCACTATGTCATGCTTGACGTATACCTTCCAAGCGTTTCTGTATGACGCCAAATGACAATAAACATTGATCGGTGATAAGCCAATCACTTACGTTATCACCTCCTTTTTTAATCCCAAAGAATCGGAGAAAAGCAATCGCATAGTATAAGTAAAATAATTGGATATACAGTGTGACACGAAATTATTGATAATAAATTTAACGCGATTCAAACGCGAATATCTCAACCAATTTGGAACCAAAACGCGTCATATAAAAAATAAAAACAAAGTATTGATTCGCGGTAAACATTAAATTCCCTTTTATTCCTTCTTTAACTTTTTTACTTCCGTAAATTTTTAATCCAAAATGACTGCAACCGACCTTGAGACACAACGCCAAACCGTATTACATCATTGGAATCAAGGTGTACGTTCTGCAAAAGAAATACATACTCTCACCATGATTTTCATCCCAACTATCTATTACAACCTTCGAAAGTTGAAAAAAAAACTGGTACCGTAAAGCACAAGAAGGGTGCTGGTCGACCATCAATTATCACAGCATGCGCATCCAGGACGATCGGTCAGTATGTTAATTAAATTAGTTAATTCGATGAGAGATAGATGTAGGCTTGTCATAGAAACAAATGGGGAACGAATTCCATATTGAAACTATTTAAATAAATGTACTTTTTTTAAGCTATCAAACGAGATATTAATAATAATGATTGGTACAGTCGTTGGCTGGCAATAACCCTTTTTTTCATTATCAATAATTTCGTGTCACACTGTATCTCCTACAGTAGGAGCTTTTGTCTCATGCAATATCTGTCAACAAAGCAATCAATTGAAAATATATCAAGGATTTAATTATTAATTACATGTAACTAGAAAAGTATATAAAAGCTCCCAAAGGCTCTGCTCTCTGTCTACTTCGTTAACGATAACAATTTATTTTTATTACCACTATTGGCTTTACCTTCTTCAACAAATCATAAAAATCCTTCCTCACATAAAAAGAACAACACCATGCATAAATATGTTCGACACACTTTCCGACTGTTTCATAACGGCGCCAGTGCTCGCTCTTACGAAAACAGGGATTTGGTAACGCGTAACGGTACAAACAGATACAAATTTGCAAAACTCGAGTTGAAGAACGTGGAAACTCAAATAAACAGCGTGCGGAACAAAATGAACAGCATGCGGAACGAAATAAACGTAAAAGTTGACACCGTAAACGCAAATGTTGACAGCATACGGAAGGAGGTGAACGTAAAAGTTGACAGCTTACGGAATAAAATGAGCAGCATGCGAGAGGAAATGAATGCAAAATTTAAAACCGTAAACGCAAATGTTGACGGCATGCGGGTGGAAATGAACGCAAACTTTAAAACCGTAGACGAGAAAATCAATAGTAACATAAACAGAGCGATATTCAAAGCTGTAATACTTATGGGTACGATAACGAGTGGCATAATCGGCCTGTCAACGAAGTTTGGTTGGGCAATAACTTTCAACATTATCACTCCCGAACCATCCCCTCAACCGTCTCGACAACCACCTACCGCGAGTCAAAGTAAACATTGACGAATAAAGTCTATTCGATAATAATACATATGAATACGAAATTGATTAGATTTATGGTTGTAATCAGCATAATATACTACGATAAATAAAAAATAATGACATTTTTTTAACTATTCAAAAAAGAGGCCGAAAATTTTTATCCGAGTTAAGCCAAATCCGACTTATCGAGTTTCCCTATTACTATGTATATTTAAAACTTCATTTTTGTTGGCAACACTGAATGTTTCCGTCATAACATTTGTTGATTTTTTTTTTGTATTTGAAATAGTTAAGTAACAATTGAAAATTTTTAGCATACAGGGCTTATCAATAATCGCCACAAAAATATTAAAGTTTGTATATTGTAGACTCGGTTTCCTGATCTATCGCCTTTTTTTATAGGAATTACATAACTTTACGAATGGTCACTCCAGATAATAATGAGTATCATGAGGAACTTTTATTCACAATGAGGTGCTCGCTAAAGCCCAGTTTAAGCTGTTTCCGGATAATAATGAGTCAGTGATGGCGAAAAAAAGGATAGTCACATGATTAAGACTGCAGTATGATTGGGTCGCGGCAAAATCATCCAAATACTTTATTATTATTGATTGTTCGCGTTGTTATTATTATAAACAACTATTAATATTACTATTACTATAGTTTTATAAAACGTTTAATATCTATTTAATTTAAGTAAAAAGCAAGTCTTGAGTTGTGTGGTGAGTTCTACGTTCGCTGTTGCGTTCTAGCTCAAAGCCTCTTCACACGCCTGCGTTTCGTTTATTAAGACTTGTCTTAGTCGCTTATATCTATGATAAACCGATCGTTTTGGAGAAACGATTTTCAATAACGACTCAAAATTTTTTTTGTCCTCAGCAAGTTCAATTTTTTTAGATTTAATTAATAGATTACGATCATGAAGACTTGTTTCAATATTACGGTCTATGTTCATTGAATCTCTGACTCATCTATGGAAATTTCATGTCATTCCAGGATTGTTTACCGGATCAATGCTTGCACGAGCTTCACCAAACTAGATAAGTGGACAATTATGTCTTCGTGTTGTTGTCGCATATTGAGGAAATAGTGATGAATTTCTGTCTCTGCAGATGTTTACACACTAAGAAAGTGTTACTAATAAATGCAGGGCATGAGCAAATCCAATTACTGGTATCTGTTAAATAGTTGTCTTCTGAGCCAATATTCTTATCTAATGCTATTTTCCATCTATTTTTATAATGCTTCCCATCAGAAAGGGAAAGCTCGATAATTGTCCAATTTTTTCCAGCTGCTTATTTGATCAGGAATTAATTCTCTTGTTAGGATTTGTGTTAGGCGGTCTAGGCGATGACGATTACAGTTATACTTGTAATTATATTTTAGAACACGCCAGTGTGATTCTCCAAGTATTGTTGTTCTTGCTAATGGTATTAGTATTGCTTTTGGATAAGAAGCCCTGGCAAGAGATTCCAATCTGACTTATTATACCAATTAATCCAGAGATATGCCCACAATTGTTTCCTCTACAAAAACTATACATTTCTTCGACACTCTGGTAATAAATTCCATTGAAGTAAGAAAGATTTCTCTGCTGATTGGTATAAGCGGATGAAGTGTTTTAACATATTTAATACTTCTTTTCTTTTATCTTGTGGGCACGGAATACCCTCGTTGTCCAGGATGCATCAATAAAATAAAATTGTTCATTGGCTTTTTTTGCTTTTCGTACTGTATACTGACTTGACTTATACTTTTTATTTTGTCGTTTACGATCAATTGCACATTTGACATGCCATAAGCAAAGTTGAATATTGGCTGTCCAGGACCAGGCCTCCTGCTGTTTGGCCAGTATCTTTATCCACAAAAACAAAAGTAGGTAATCCACTACGTCTTAATGACAGAAAAAATTTTTTAAGAACTTTTACTCGTGAGTTAATTGTGTTTCTAGGATCGTGCAGGCGATCGTCCGGAGCTGTAAACGTATCAACATAATTGGAACTCCATAACCACCCCAATTTATTATCACTGTCAAACATAGGTTCTGTTAGAGGAATTGGAAGACAGGTGTGCATATTTCAAAGTCCAAAACCGGTTTAATATTATATTAATGAGTGCCACAAAAATGTAGCTGCTTAAATTATTTGTAAATGAGTGTATGTGTGTAAAACAATTTTGCATAAAATAAATGGTGTTCATTGTTTTACCTGTTCAATTATTTCAGCAATCTCAATTGAGCATTTATCAAAATGATTTCAATTGCTTTATTGTGTTTGTTATGTTTTCTATAATATCAGTTCCTTCATCACTTCCGATAGCCAAACCATACATGATAATGATATTTACTTCCACCAGCAAAATTAAAAATGGATGATTGTACCAAGCTAGAACACAAAAAAAAATAAATAAAAATATAAGACAAAATAAAATTAAAAATGAGAAATTTTAGAACATTACGTCATCGTCACTTTTGTAGTTTTTTGGTAGATTTTTCTAATATTTCTGTAGGTCATGGGCATGCGCAGATTTGATAATGCAGGGTAGTTAATGTCTAAAATAGTGGTTCTAGAAAACTTTGCTTTTTTTATCTATTTGGTTTATGCCTTTCTTTTAAGAATCAAACTTATAATGGCCACATTATCTCCAACAAGGGCATTTTCAACAAAAAGACTCTGCTTTAGGAGGCTGAAGAATAATTTTATTCTTGTTATTGTTTTCAATTGTCTCATTACTCATAAAAAGATCTAACAAATACACAGAATTTACAAAGTTAGCCTTGAAATGTGCCTTCTGTTTGCCAGTGACCTTCGCGCTAACTTGACAAAAAACATTTTTTCAACAAAAAGCCAGTAGTAATAGCAAGTATAAAATTTCAAAATTCAATAATGGAATGCAATGGAGTGGTTTAGGTCCGAGTAACTCGTAATTTATTCTTGCTTTCAGATACATACACCGCGGTCTGTCTCTATCTCTTGCAAGTCAAAATCTAATAACAAACAAACTATTAATTGTTATAATTTCTTACGTTCCAGTTGTCTTCAGAATTCCTTAAAGCACCCACGCTGTATTATCTTCAAAACATTTTGAATCGAGAACGGTTTGCCTACAACGTTATAGATTTGCTAATTTCTACCATGTTGGTCTCTTCTTCTTGTAGTAGGCAAAAACATTATCGCAAAAGTGATAAATTTCACGTCGTGTTGAGTGAGAAAACGGAAAAGGGGTATATATCCGGGCTCCCGAAGTTCAGCAAATTTGGGTCGTCAACGTTCAGGAAGTACTATATATGCGTCAGTATTAGTATAGTGCAAAATTTTTGAAAGTTATTTTGGATGACGTTACGCGCGTTATATAAATAAGCAGCGTGATCCTAAATCACGTGTCTGTTATTGTGACATAACTATATTCGAAAAACTTTTGCAATAATTGTTTCTCTATACGGATTAAGTTTACAAACACGACTCTGTTACTGTAAATTTTAACAACATTGATAGTAAAGACGATTTGTTTTGTTTATTAATTTAAGATTACAACTAATATTTGTTGAAGCAATAAATAAATTTATTGTTACTACAAATCGATATTGATATCGGCAATTGCAAACCTTGATTAATATCGTCATTCCAACTTTTCACCTTTCTCAGTTTACTTGGTTTATTCTGGAAAGCCGCGAGGTATCGTTTTCAAAACCTGTGATAAAATTGTGATAAAGCGATTTCTCCAGACACGTTCTGGGAATTAGAATTTATCGCGGTATGAGTGATTTATTACGATTAATTCGGTATATTCCCCTGATTTGTGTTCCGCATCTTATTGGTACGATAATAAATAATATTTCCGAGTAGATGGATCCCCAGTGATCCTAATTATTAATCATACCAAAACTTGAAAAGTTTTTTTACTACAGCAGTATAAAGAAGATTTAATTCAACTCCTTACACCGTTAGAAGGAGAAAATTGTTTCATCGTGCAAGCTCAAACCTTAACGCAAAAACATCGAATTAGCATAACCACAAAATCAGTAAATTTATTGGGAGTGGCCGGCCTTTATTTGTCCGTGCACCCGAAAAACAATAGAGTCTGTAGATTTATGTGCTCTTCCTACCGCGATTGTTTTGATAGTTCAAAGTCTGATAAGAACGTTGGCAGACGGCAGGACGTTCATGATGGTCAATGTTTGCAATGCGTGGACGCAAAAAGTCTCAATATGTATAGTCGACTTACGCTGAACCTGATTACTATTCTCAAATATGATGGTAATTCTAATTAGATAGTTGTGTTTGTTGATGATGCTACTGGAGGTAGTTAGCGCGTTGATGACTGCTTTCGCTTTTGAATAATTGCTGTCAGTATAACGATTAGTCTCGTTACGTATTGTACGTAATTCGTTATTGAGCACGCGATTGTCTATGATGAGTCGTACTTAGGCACGATAACTAGGTTACTGGGAGGCTATTTATTTATTTTAGCAGTTCGAATATCAATTACCAAAAGTAGGTAACACAATCAGGCATATTCAGTACACGTTTTGCTATTACTCTCTTAAACAAAGTTATGTACAGTGTGTTTGCATATCAATAAACAATTGCATGGAAAGAAGTACTCGAATACGAAGCCCTTAATGAGTACTCCTATATGTTGGTCATTTCGGTGAAATCAAACATTACATATTCTTGCTGTTATTAACTTCTTTTCCCCCTTTTTTTGTGACCTGCTTATAAATTGCTTCGACGTTTTAGTTTTTCGTTGGTAAAAGGTATTCAGTGTAGAGTCACAGTGGGTTTTCCCCGCGTAAGTTGCGGATTCGGGTGGCCCTTGGCCAAGTAAAAATTCCGAGTTCTACTTTATCGACATTCTCTGCACATTTTCTTCGCTGAGTAGTTTACTAGTTAGATATTATTTTATTTTATTTTTTTCTATTGCTTAAATTATTATTATCTATTACAAAATTGAATGTTCGTTTTATAGTAAAATTTCTCGGTATAATCTTTGAAGTTGGTACAATATCAAGACCTGGCTGTGATATATTTGGTTTATAAAGTTAATGCAAAGACCTTTGCCATAACATTATCATTATATCTATTAAATTTTGCGTTGAGATGGGAATAATTATATCGCATTTTTGTAACTGCTCTTGCACTTATTCGACGGTAAAAAATTGGGACAATGGAATACTTTTCTTCACAAAACTTTTGCAATTCCTTTGTTTTATCAGATACGTATGTGCCTTCCAGTGGCAAATAATTGGCGCAATTTTTTCCAAAGTAGTTTAAAACGTAACTTTAACCATTTCAGTGGGTTATATTATAAGTCAATTTATTTATTTGCCTGAGTTAAGATCTTTCTCATATAATGAGAATTTGTTAACCGTCTCTCTCAGTAACACGTAATTGTTCTTGTCTAAATTCTAATTTTACCACAATAAAGATATTAAATAAAATAACTTGACATTGACTACTCGCATTGGCGACGAAATACTAGTTAATACGTTTTGATGAGTCCTTATTAACGACAAGCGTTGCATTTTCGGTCGTGTCGAATTTCAAGATCTTCATAATATTAATTTTAATTGCTTTAGAGAATTTTTCAAACTGTTACATTTTAGAACTTTAATACTTTGAAGGTTTCAAGTCTGAAATGAATGCAGTATTTTAAGCCAAAAGTGCAATTTTAAAGGCCAAGCTAAACTAGACAAACAATTGCAATTTTTGATCGACAGTATGTAATTCAAAAGAATGTTTACATTGTTAGTTAGGCATGCCCGGGTCATGAACTACGTCAGTATGGTCATCCTGCAAAAAAGTTGGTGTTATTAGAGTTGCACACAACTTAGATGATGCGGTAACTATATCTTGCATCGGATCATACCATGATAAGCGAGTACTATACATAGACAAATGATCAGCATAGCTTTTGCTTATTAGTTAAAAACTCATGCATTGTATAACGATAATAAAGAAAAAAATCCATATTAGTATGAGTTTTAGAAAATGTGAATTAATATTCTATTCGGCATACAGGCATTATTATTACCGAGGATCATAAGTTTGGATTCTCAGAACGGGTGTGGATCTCGATTCGATTCGATTAGATTAGATTAGGTATTTAGTCATAATCACATGACGCAACTCCGAGTGATAGAACAGTCCTCTGATCCAGATCGACAAAATTTACTGATAATAATAAATTAAGATTTCCAAATTCAGTTCTCAATAAATGAATCAAAATATTTAATATTTACATCGATTATCAGAATTGATATGATGTAACGATAGTAATAATGCGTCAGATATGAAACTGCATTACCGATTCGAAACGATATAAAATATAATTTTGTTGCCCAATTCTATATTAAAAAATGTGGCTTGATTTAATCAGTTTAGTACCCGGTTTGCCATTAATAATCATATATACATGATAAAGAAATTCATCAGCAAATCTTAGATCTTATTTTGTTGGATTAATAATCAAAACGGCGGGTGATTTGTTTATGCTGATATACGATATTACTACAACATTCTCGTTCACTGTTGTGAAACTACGTACTGCATATAGTCCAAGACTTACGGGCCTCCTGCAAAAAATGATCCAAGACTTACGGGTCCCTGCAAAAAGGAACATAGGGGTGAGTTGGGTTTAAGGGATGGGGTTCAAGAAATAAAAATTCTGCTTGAATTTCGGAAAAATGTGATTATGATTCGCCTTATTGGAAATTTCAATTAACCTAAATGGGAATCAAGGGGTGGTAGTTTTTCTACACCTGTATGGGTTTTATTAAATGACGTGATCTATAAATAACATGCAAAGCACTTGTCTTTACTACTCCACCGCAAATCCTGTTACGTTCGTTATTCTTCACCAGCATAGGCTTTGTCTCGGTCTTTTTCCTTTTTTAAGATATTATTTACGTTTCCTAAGCACGACAGACGGTGAAAGCTCTCGAATTCCAACAAACTGAATTCTTGCCAACGATGTACATAAACTCGCTACCTATTGTCATTTCAAGAGACCTCAAGATCCCTACTCCCGTCAGTGGTGAAGGATTTTTCTACCGTCACTCGTCAGTTTCATTCACTGTCGAAACAAGAGTTCCTCGGATCCGCCACTCTGCCAGAGGGACAATATACATCACTGACAAACGGATGATATTCGTCGCATCTGACGCTAGTTCAGATGGATTCGAGACATTCTATCTGTTACTCACGGATATTGTCTCATCAGTAAAAACAGCAAGTGGCGCTGGGAGATTTAATCGCAATATGTTTTGTTTGACTCTACAACTGAGCGATACAAGAACGGTGATTATCACAGTCGAATTCGATAAAAGAGATCTGAAAGCCAAGCAAACGTTAGAAGACTATTATACTATGATCACTGAGAGTGTTTCAGCGGCAAAGAAAAAGAAGTTAGAGGCGGAGAGATTGACATTGGCAGTCGTATCTGAAACTTGGAACATTAGTAATTTGCCTGAACCGCCAGTATATTCATCTGCGGCAATATTTCATGATGAGGAGTTACCACCATATCCCGGACAGTAAATGTTTGTATTATAGTACTGGTAGCCAAATACATATTTTGCGTTCGGGTCACTATTCATAATAATGTGGCTTGACAAATACATACGATACATAGCGCAAATAGAATATCAATAGTCTATGGGCGTATAAACTTTATTTCTTCGATTTGTACAGATTGCCTTCGACTATGTTTTTCTTATTATAAATATATACTATATGTATGAAATACCCCCACTTTGGTGGTCTTTGTTTCGTGGGCATAATAAGGATCGAGAGGACACAACGGAAATGCATCTCTCTGCTCTTCAGAGATTACTTTTCTTTTCCAAGTAGTTCTCCTGTTCTGAGGATCAAACATTAGGTTGAATGAGAAGCCGATAAGGACTATGAGTGAAGTTCTCATTTTTTGCACAGGATTTATCGCGTTGCTTGGCATTGCATGACATAGGGCTCGGTCAATTATCAAAGGCTTGGAGCAACAGCTGAACTTTTAATGTCCGGCAAAACTTCGAGCGTACATTCACTTTTACGCAAAGTGTTATGACTCAAAGTTTATAGCTGCCAATAATCATTCGTCAAAGCGGGGGGCTTGTTTTGACCTGATGGCCAAGATGGGTTAGTACTAGCAAGGCTCTGAGTTGGTTTATCTATTTCTTACTAAGACTTTCCTGTAAATCATATATAAACCGGGTTCATATAGGGGGGTAGACATTTCGGGCCGATGGGGGGAAAAGAGGAATCCGCACGGCTAATATTATCTCTTCCAAGGAATCGCTTCTCCAAATATAGGTCTCTTTCTGTCTACTATATCAAGGACGAGACTAACCCCCTTGACTGTTTAATGTCAATATTAATAATATTATCATTGTTGCCGTTCTCCTACATTAGCCAGGATTGGCTTATCTGATTTTAGTAACACTGATGTGTTTTCTTATCGGCTATTTTCCGTTCTCCATCATTTGTTGTGTTTCTCTCAACGCTCGTATCACCTTTATTATTATCGTTATCTTGTCCTACAATCATAATAAATAAATTTGTTTATTAACATTAATATTAATGTTACGACGGACTCTGGGATTTGAGAACAGGTCAAACTGTCACAGCTTTTCGACGTTATCGCGTAAATTGGTGACAAGTTTTTATTTTAATATGACAATTCCGAGACAGAATGGGTCACATTTAATATCGGAACAGCAATTGACTTGAGAAATGGAACATGCCTAACAAAACCGATTAAAGTGAACAGAAAGATTTCAGGGGGGTCAACTTGCCGAGTGTTACAGAGTTGTCTTACCCCGCTTTCTTAAGTGGGTTATATTTCACTTGCAACAATTACAAATCAACAAAGTTAAAATTAATTAAAACGATGGGTACCAATTTACTTTTTATCAAGTTCTGCTGCACTTTCACTGGAAATTCAATATTTCAGAGAGACGTATAGTTGACTGACCGCAATAAGATGTGACAAATTTTATGTCAAAATTAGTAGAGATATGTGGGTTAAGATTATGTTGACACGTCAAGGTATGAAATAGATGTGGTGCATATGAGAAGGGGATATGCAGGGACAAACACGCGGGAAAGAGTTGTACTCCCAAGGCACAGGAATCATATGTTAAATGGCTAGTTTGGACCGTACATACGCTAGAATAACTATTGGGTGTTACAAAAGCAACAAGTCAATTTTCACTTTTCATTCGTTATATTGATCACTGT